ACCGGCCACTACCATCATCAAGTTTAGTCCAATGTTGTTCCCATGTTGTTGTTACTGGTTTTGTTGCTCCAGATGGTGTAGTAGTTGTTGTTGTTGTTTTTGTTGTATCTTCATAACTAAAAAGAAAACAAAAGAATTCGCTTAAGAAATGAATTGATTATTATAAACATTTACGTATAATATCCATGGAGACGATCGAATACTTGTTCAGCTTGGTCACGTGTAACATAACCTAAAAAAACACGTGAACAAATAAATAATAAAAAAAATGAAGAAATTTTATCTTACCTGGTGTTGTATTATTGGTGTGATCTAATACATAGTTTAATCGATCACGAGGTGAAACTGCTGTATTTACTCGATTTTGACTTACCATTAAGTATGCATTAACAAAATCTAATTTAAATATGAATAAAGAAATGTAATCGATTTTTTTTTCATTCTAATTACCTTCAAAGCTCAATTTGCCTAAAAAGAAAAATCGAATAAATTATGATAAAATATTAAAGATTTGCTTTTTTTTCCTTTTGTACCTGATCCATCAGTATTAAAAGCTTTGAAAACACGATCAGAAATTTTTTCTAAATCATGTTCACTAATAACAGCTGGAACACTTGTACCAGTTTGTCCACTTGCATACAATTCTTTATATAAACGACGAAATTCTTTTTTATCCATACGATTATCTTTGCCTGTTGTTGTAATAAATTCTTGATAAAGTCGTTCAACTGTAGCTCGTGGAACACCTATATCAATTTAATTGTAAGATTAATAATAATAATAATAATAATAAAAGAAAATGATTATTTACCACTAACGTTACTGAATCGATCTAAATCCCATTGTGTGAATGTTTGTTTTGAATGTGATTTGCCCATTTTTTAATAAATTCGAATAGAATACAAGTTTTAAAATGCGATGCACAAATTTGAAGAATGTATCATATCAACGTAAAACAGTGACTTTTATAGTCTTAACCAGAGGTAAATGAGGACGATTTTCTCATTCTTCTTCTTCTTTATTCTCGAAAGCCTTGATTACATTTTTTCTGAGAGAGAACAGCAAAAAAAAAAGAGAGAGAGATGATGTCAAAGGAAGAATAAGTGCACTGACAAATACTTTTAAAATCCACTGTGATGATCTTTTATGCTAATCATCATACGCACTTTATGCAAAACAACGATATCGATACTTTTCAGTTCGATATTGATTTTGAAAACGGCTAGAAACCATAAACAATATCATCCATCATCAGATAAATGTAGTAAAAAAAAAGAAAGATGAATTCTGTAGTTCAAGTACATTTCGTGTCGACTCGTGTGAATCACGTGTCGCGGTTTGATGTGTAACTAACATGATTCAACTGTCAGATTTTGCTAAGCAACTATCAAATCAAATATAAATTAGCAGATGCAATTTTTTTACAGAAAAAGTACTTAACTAAATTAACATTTATCGTTTTTTTTAACATATATTGATTTCTTAATTTAAAAAGATAAAAATATTCTTAAAATATCTTGAAAGGAAAAATTAAACATTTATCGAGTTTATAACAAAGATTTTGATTGACTTATGAATGCAAGCAAAAATATCAATCTTTTATAAATATTTCATATAGATAAAAATATTGAAAATATCTTAGATATTTTTTTATAACTAAAGCCAAGGTCAATCTGGTAATAATAGTAAATTTTTCAAAAAAAAAAAAACGTGACTAATAATTAAAATAAGAAATGTTATATAAAAGTTTTATTAAGTATAAAAACACCACTGAGTCATATTTTTACCCAACGCACCTTCAGTTTTTGTTTCTATTATTATTTTTCTTTTTTTTTATCTACATTACACATTCAGAATACTTTTTCTTCTCGTTCTATACAAGAAGAACGCAAAATCTATTTTTTGTAATGAGATTGTCGCCAATGGAAACTAGACTATATACTGTGCCGAAACTTGATCGAAAGAAAACTATTTATTGAATAAAATTAAAAGACAGAAAAAATAGAATATGATATTGTGTAATAGAAAAAGAATTTAGGATAAAGTAATCACAGCTGTTGTAAGTTCACTGCTTAAATAATAGAATATGATCACTATTGACAGAGCTTAAGCAACTGCAAATATATTGTATTGTATCTTGAACAAATTTTTTCACACTTCCAGTACTCTAACTGTTCAAGATAAACAATGCTGAAACCTATGGATCAAGCTTGAAAAATAATTATTTAAAAAATGGAATTTGACTTGATTACTGAAGTACGAAAAAGGTGAACAGACTTTAGTCTGACAAGCGACAGATATCGATACTTGGAATATGTCTTCTGAAGATTAAAACTAAAAATGACACGCTTCCACAGTATATAATACTTAGTCATTATTAAGAAATGACGGACATGGAGTATATCATAAAACATTATCTCTATATAGACTTAAGAGTGAATGCATGCTTCGAATGTCATAAAACATAATACTAAGACGTCATTCAACACCGTCGTTAGTTGCGTCGAATAGAGTTCAATAAAAGTTATCGATTGACAAGTAAAAAGAGTTAATAAAGACTTTATATTTATAAACAAAAATATTTCTAAGAGACACATAAGAGTAAGCACTATAGTTCTTATGAGTATTAGATCATTAAAAGTTTGTGACAATCTCTAAAATGATTCAACAAAAAAACACTACTGATTGTATATCATTTTTATGATATTGAACCATTGATTTAAGAAATTTCAATAATACAATGTAACTATGATGTGTAAACAGTGACGAGTGCGGCACGTGTTTGTTGTACTGACGACGATCATTGTAACCAACTACAATAGAGAAAATCGTATACGGTCGGTCACGTACCGTATAATTCGATTTGAGTGCACTTTCTTTCTTTTCTTTTGTAAACGCTAATTGTTATATGAAACTGATATAAAGAAGTCAAAAGAGAAAATGTTTCACTATTTTTTATATAGAGAAGAACAAGTTATAGATTTTGTATAAGGTTTTAAAATATAAATGAAGATTATTATTTATCGTAATTGCTATTTTTTCTTCATGTTTCTCTTATTCCATTATTCATGGGCGATTTCTTATACATATAGATGAATCAAGAGAAGTGAGATCGATACTGCATAAACTTGAAATTTCGAGCTTAATTTGTCCACGATATATTTTTACCGAAATTCTTCAATCTATCTTTTATAACAAGCTAAATTGATGATTTTTGAATGGCAATCTGAACAGCGTACCTAGGAATAGTACTTGCAACTTTTCAAAACCTATTTGAACATCTTATCGATAACTTATCAAGACCTACTAGGCTTTAGGGCTTGATCATTGACCTTAAGTTTATGTGAAGCTTTGGCTAATTACTCTTGTCATATTTTACAGTGATAGAAATTGTATTACTGTAAAATAGCGACATTTTGTATAATCTCATTAAATGCATTCAGAGTGGACATTCTCAGGGCGAAAGAACTACACTTCAGAATTTCCATAAATTATCTATAGATTTGTCTTGCTTCATTCGAAAAAAAAAACGTCGGTCTAGTTTTATAAAATTCAACTATTTTCTCAAATTAGATCTTTCCAGATTGAAAAAATTGAAATGCAATAGTATCAACTTCATGTCTAAATTTTAGAATATTTCCAATAATATATATGTTTTTGCTGTTCGATTGAAATATATAAATATAATAAATACTACAGAACACAAAACTAATATTTTCTAACTTCTTATGGTTCATTCATACTTTTTCATATGATAATTTTCAATAGAATTTTACTGATTGTAGTGAGAAATTATTTAGAATATACTCAGCGAATATTTTAAATTTTTTTTTCGTTTTCTTTTCTTGTTCAGTTAGAAATCAATTTCTTTCATTATTTGTTTTTATATACGGGGTGTCCCAAAAGTCATGATCACTTTATAAATACATATAACTCCACCACTAATCACATTTAGTCCAAAACTTTTTTTTATTTGAAAGAGAAGACTAATAAATTTTTATTCTTACAGATCAAGTTCATCAACACTATAGAAGAGGTAGCACTTGGGCTACAATACAAAAATTAGGGTTTTTTTCGATATTTATTCTAGTTTCGATCATTATCAGAAACTTCAGTCCTTTCACTGTTGCTTTGCATTCATTTTTTGACATATTCTAAAAAGACTCAATCATTGACACATTTCTTCATTGCAGGTCGTTCATAACTCTTCAAAAAATTGACTTTATATCTGCATATTGTTTTTGACATCGAAAAAAAGTCAAATTTTTGTATTGTAGCCCAAGTGTTATCTTTTCTACAATGTTGATGAACTTAGTGTGTAAGAATAAAAATTGACTAATTTTTTCTTTCAAATAAAAAAAAGTTTTGGACAAAGTGTGATTAGTAGTGGAGTTATATGCATTTATTAAGTAATCACAACTTTTGGGACACCCAATATTGATGTTGTCATCGAATTTATTATTTTTTTCATTAGTAATTGTTAACGATTATAAATCGACAAATTAAGAATTACGTCTGATTTCTTCGAATAGGACAATTAATTATCAATGTTCGAAATAATAGCATATAGTTTTTATTTCAAGAAAGTTAAAATCTTTTGTTTTAATAATAGTGATCACGAAAAGATAATTTTATATTATTTAAAAATTTTAAATCTACTTTGATTTTGTTCATTGTTCAAATTTTTATAACGTTCAATTGAACGACTTTGATATGATAATGATGATTTCGATTTATTTAAATAAATGTTTCTTTTCTATTTGTATCTTGATCTTTGACGACAGTATTATATGACTACAAAAAAGGAATATGTTGAACTTTGTTCAAGCATTTATCGATAGGCCTTGCTAGTAAGATTAACCACCTGGCGCAAAAGAACGATAGACATACAGATGAACTTGAATTTCAAGGATGATGATTTTGTATCAGTTAAGATAGGAAATAAAAGGTCGAATGAACTATATTTTATTTTAACATTCAGTTCATATTGACGATTGAAAATGTGGTTCAGTTTAATATTAATAATTCATTGTATTTTGATTACAACTGGTCAATATAAAAGTCTTTTTGATTATGAATGTGAAACAAACTTGAATTGTACGAATCATTTGGCTAATTCGATATGTTTTAATAAGAAATGTATATGTCAATTTGGATATAAATTAGGTGGATGTATAGTAGAAAAAAATGAATTACGTTATCGTCGACAAATTAATTATGGTAAAAAATAATTGAAATTTAATTTTTATGTTTTAGTTTCAAATGTTAAGAAAATATAGGTACGAGAATGTTGGGTGAAGAATGTGACTGGAGTAGTCAATGTCGTCAAATGTCGATTGATAACACAAAAGTATGTTTTGCACATAAATGTCAATGTTCGCAAGGTTATGTACCTATTGATGCTCATCGATGTGTACGAGACTTCGGTTAGTTTAATTATATTCTAAATATATCATTTAAAAGTTTTTCTATATAGTATTATTACCGTTAAATATACGAGTTACAAAATCATATCAAGAGCCATCATCGGGATATGGTTCAACATGTTCGAAAAATATTGATTGTCACCAGACTAGTTTTCATCTAGAATGTATTCAAGGAATATGTGTATGTTTAGAAGGTTATGTACTGTTAGGAAAAAATGTATGTTATAATACTCGTGGACAAGGTAATAAATTGAAAAGATACTTATACTGTGATTAAGATATATTTTCAAATATATCGATTATAGGAGATTCAACTGAAATATCTACTCCATTCAGTACAACATCAACAAATCATCCAGTAAATAATGAAGTGATTAAATCATTAGGTAAAATTGGTAATACATGTATAAATGATTATTTTTGTCGACAAGCTGTATCTCAATCTCATTGTTATAATGGAAAATGTGCATGTGTCGATGGTTATATACCAATTGATCAATATTCTTGTATAAAAGGTAATTATGAAATCTATTTTGTTTCTATTGAATATATATATATGTATTGAATTTTAATAGATATGTATAGAGATACAACAATAAAATCAACACCAATACCAGTTAATTATAAAAGTCTATTAGGAGGAAAATGTTTAACCAAACGTAATTGTCATACGCCAAATGCAGTTTGTTTATTTTCTATTTGTGCATGCCCAAAAGGTTATTTTCCTGTGGATGATTGGACATGCTTGGAAGAACCGGGTAGTAGATAAAATTTCTTTTTTTTTGGTTTTCTTAATCTCATTAAATGTTTCTTCATTCTAGAATCATCTGATGAAGAATTAATTGAAGCAACGTCTGTCATATCAACAACAACAATGATAACAACTACAAAAATGACAACATTTTCTACAACAAGTACCTTTCGTTGGTGGCCATGGTCACCAACAACAACAACATTTTCTACAACAAGTACATTTCGTTGGTGGCCATGGTCACCAACACCAACAACATTTTCTACAACAAGTACATTTCGTTGGTGGCCATGGTCACCAGCACCAACAATTCGTACAGCATATCCGAATATGGAAAATACATTTAGTGTTCGTTGTTTACTTAATCGACAATGTGTTAGTATGGATAAAAATTCTCATTGTACATTTCTTGGACGATGTATATGTAATCGAGGTTATATATTAAAAAAAGCAAATAGAGGACAATATTGTATTCCACGCATAATAAATGAAGAAGATTGTGACTAGACAAACCAAAATTTAGTTTCTAATTTATTTATCAATATTTTTATCCTTCCGGTGTATTTATCATTATTATTATTATTATTATTATTATTCATGTTTTTTTTAATTTTACATATTTATTATAAGCCTTGATATTCAAGTTCACTATTGATTTGAAGTAATAGACAACATGGACAGCATATAGCAGCCAAACAATCTTTAAATATAGAACCCTTGCAAATAGAAACAAAATGTATGTTTTACAAAAATAATTTTGTTTTTGTTTGTTTACTTGTAGTCGAAATCCAGTACGAATTTTCATACGAAGTGACATTAAAGCATCAGGCCAACAACACAAAAATGGTGTACACATACATTCACCAGCTCGACTAAATACTCGACAACAAAAACATGGACAGCAAATATATGCACAACAACCTTTTAAAAAAAAAAGAAAACTTTTTATTTAAATTAAAGATTTTCATATTAAATCAACATACATGAACCTATATCATTACAACAACCACATATATCTCTTTGCCATTCACCTTCATAATTCCAAATTTTTTCTCGTAATTTTCTTGGTTGTTGTTGTTGTTGTTGTCCATAACTAAAGATTAATTTTGTATAATAAATATCAAACAAGATATTAATTAATATAGATATTTACCCATAACTCATGATGTATGATAGTTTAACAAGAGAAAATAACAGAATATTTTAGTTTCACGATGAAGTTGTTAGCTTGTTCTTTTTTGTGCGTTTGAAATAAAGCAAAAACAAAAAGTTTTAATGTTCGAAATGGTAACGGGATTTTTTTTTCTTAGTGTAAAATGCAAACATTAATTCAAAACACACTCAGTTATGTCAACAATGACGAAAGTTTACAGATCACTAGTAAGCGATAGACACATGCTATCACTTATGTAGATTTTTTATCTGCCAATTGTTTTGTTTTTCGACATTTATTTAATTAACACACACATTCCATGGTGGGTAATTAACAAAAAAAAAAACTTAAAAAAATGAACAATATAAATACTACATTATGTAACTTAGATACTTAATAGGTAAAAAAGAAACTCAAATAAATAATGGTTCACATTATTCAACGAGAAAAAAAGAAAAAAAAAAGGTTAAAACACTAAAAGAAAAAAAATCAAATCGATGATGAGAATTAGCTTTGTGTTTGTTTTTTTTTTGTGTTTTATAAAACACCATGTATTCATCACTGTTGATTTAGAAAGATTAATATTAAGAGAAGACAGAAAAAAAGACGAAATGATTCAACGCTTTGATAACTGAGCAAACTGATGAAAATTCTATTGCACACTAATAAGAGTACAATGAAAAAAAAAAGAGTTTTACGATAAAATTTATCGTCGATAAGAATTCATATAACTTATTTTTTTGGTTCCATCCAGTTTTGTTGAACATGTTCAACTTGATACTCAGTATGATAAGGTCGTCGTTGTTGTTCAGGTGGAACTTCATCAGGTGGTTTAACACTACGAAAACCAGCAGCTTGTTGCTGTTGCAATTGTTGTTGTTGTTGTTGTTGTTGACGACGTTGATCAAAAATAGATTTAGGTGCTTGTGATGTTCCTTGTACAGAACTAAGATCTTCTTCAAGTGCACGAAATGATCGAGAAATTTTTGCTTCAGATGAATAAGGAACATTTTTTGGTGGAGTATTCATTACAGCTTGATATGTTGGTGATGGTTGATTATATTGTTCAGGATTATATGTATTAGATGATTGAGAAGGATTATTATTTGAATTAGCTCTTAAAATACAAAAAAAAAGAAAAGAAAAAGGAATTGTATAGCAAAAACAAAAAATTATTTTTTTTTTAAATTAAATACCCTTTAATATCTTCAATTAAACTGCCTGCTTGTGATTTAAATGCTTCTAAAACTTTATCATCACTATAAAGTCCTATTGGAGAATTATACTGAGCATGATAAACAGCTGTACCAACATTACGAGCTGGTGCTTGAGGATTGTCACGATAAGCTTTTGGTCGCCAAATTTCACGTTCTAATAATATAAAAATAAAATTTATCTTATGAATACAAAATAAAATCATTAGTTTACTTACGAAGTGGATCTTTATTATAAGCGGTTGTAGATTCAAAATTAGCTATAGAAGAAAAAGTTATAGACAAAAAAAAAATAATACAGAAAAAAAAAAACATCTTACTAAGTTTAGGACGTAAATTCTCAGGCACTTCTTGTGTATAATCTCCTAAAATGAATATATAGGAAAATGTTTCTTAATTGGAATTGAATATAATCATACCCGGTTGCCAATTCGTTGGTTTAGCTGCTTGATAAGTCATTTCATTTCCAACTCGAGCATCAAATGGCATTGCTGCTCGATTATGACTACTACCAACATGCATTTGAGGCTAGAAATTTATTAGAAAAAAAAAAAGAATAATGAAAATTAAATTACGATTTTTCATAGATTTTGTACCTGACTTGGTGTTGCAAAACTAGGCTTAACAGCTTGTGGTGTAGGCATTTGATGTACAGGACCTGTTCTTAATTGAGATATAGGTTGAGGTGTTGGCATAGATTGTTGATTAACAACTCCTCTAAAATAAAAAGAAAATTAAGAATTATTCTATTCTAACGATTAATATTCTTACTTGATAATAGTTAATTCCAAATCATTACCCGAACGTGTTATTTCCATTTTAGCTTCTTGATGACTTAGATGTGTTATATTTCGACCATTAATTGCGATAACTTGATCACCAGCACTTAAACCATTTTCATGAGCAGGCGTGTCCGGATTAACCTTGGATAAATACAAAGCACATCAATAATAAGCAAAAAAAAAAGCAACAAATATCAGAATTTTTTGATTGACTTTTCGACATACACTTACCAGTTGGACCGATAATGGGATAGAAAAATCACTACCACCTAGATACAAACCAAAAGAAGCAATGAATAGTAAAATTAAACAAAAAAAAAGCCAAAATATAACCTTGAAGACGAAAACCCCATGGTCTATCAGTTGCATTACGTTCAAGACGAACTGTGATAGGTGAATTCATATTAGATAAAAAAAAATGTTAGCAAGAAAGTATCTAAAAATGTTGATATCCAAAGCAGTTGGTATATTTTTTTTCTTATTTTATCAAACAAGCAAACAGAAATAAACGACACCGATGTTTGACATAGATATACAACGAGTAAACCGAACTAGCTTCCCGTTAATTCAGCAAATCGACAAAGAAACGGACGTGTTATGTAGGAGGATTCTATATCTTTTTTCTTTCTTCTTCCATATTCTTCGCCATGTAACAAGTATTACACAAAAAAAAAGGAAAAGAACAGAAACAATGATAAAAATATATCCTTCATCCTACGTTCCGTACACATATGTCCAGAACAACTATGAATGAATTGATGCTTGAGTATTATGCGGATAAATATGGACGATATATCATGATATCATTTGGTTTTTATCCAATAATCAATTCACAATAACAAAACATCTTTTCCTACTGATATCGAGTGGCATCTCTGTTTATTTTTTTTTGCTTAAATCTATCGCAATAATATATTTAATAATATAGAAAAAAATTTTTTTTTTATATGTCAATCGTCAGTATTATCTTTTATTTCAAAACGAATAAAATCAACTTCAATAGATTTTAATGGTGCATTACTAGCTGTTGATGTTTTACGATTTGATCTTTTTTTTTCTAATTTTGGAATATCAAATTGTAAAACAGCTAATACATCCATATTCATATTCCAATCTTTAGCTTTTTTATAAATATGATCTCTTGTACTTGTTTTATGTAAACTATAAATTGAATGTCGTGCTAATTGTCTTGCATATTGTAAAAAATGCATATCAATACCAGTTAAACATAATTCATCTTGATTTTCTGTTGAACTTGAAAATGGTTTTGTGCCAAATGGTGGATTCATAATAACTGTATCTGCTATAATACGATGTAAATCTACAGGTAAACGAATACGTCGTAAATCAGCTTGAATTAAATCAATATTAGATTCAAGTTCAAATTCTTTTATATTTGATTGACATAAATTTAAAGCATCAATATCACAATCAAATCCAAATATATGATCAGCATTAAGAAGACATGATGCTATTGATAACATTCCTGTACCAATACCTAAATCAATTAATAAATGATTTTCAATATCATCATATTGAGTTTGAGCTGTATAAATCATTCGAGCAGCTAAATAAGACAAAAGAAAATACACAAAGCAAAATAAACAACTGAACTGGTTTTTTTTTTCATTTTACCAAGATGTGGTGTTGTCATATATTGTTCAAGATATTCTTTAGCATTGGAGAAATTTTCAACATGACTTAAATGAGACTCTAATTCTTTGAGCTTCATTTTTCTATTAAAATACAAACAAAAAAAAAAAAAGCAAATGAATATTCAATATTTATATATATATACATATATCACTGGCTCTCATTCGGAGACGTAATTATTTATTTATACGAAAAAAAATTAGCACAAAAATAGAAAAAAATACATATAATTATATAATTTTTTTTTTTCATTTATTATGAAAGATCCATTGTTGCACCACCATACATTTGACCAAAATGTTTTTGTACAGTATTAATTAATATTTGAAATTTTTCATTCCAATTAATTTTTGTTAAAGTTTTTATCTGTAATAAACTATAAATTAATAATTGATGAACCATTTCAGCATTATAAAAATTTAATAAATCAATTAAATAATTTTGAAATAGATCAAGATCTATTTGATTTGGTTCATCACTTGTTTCAATCCATTCACGTAACATTAATTTAACATCATTTAATGATGTACAACCAGCTATATTTGGTTGTTGTTTTAGTTTTTCAGATTGATTAACATATTGTTCATTACGAACTATAGGATCATTTCTTTCTTCATGAAGAATAGTTTCTGTACGCCATTTTTTAATTGAATTTAAAGTTTTTTTTGTTATAGTTTGTTTTTGAGGAGAATTCATTAAGACATTAAATGCATTGCTCTTGTCTTTTATTGTTGGATTTGATGGATTAGTTATAGGTACAAGTCGTTTACCACCTATAGGTGGATATTTTGATTCAATTGTTCGTAATTTTTTTGCCATTGCTATTTCATGACGCATTTCAGGTGGAAGTTCATTAAGAACAGATTCATCGATATGATCGATAACTTGTGTAAAAGATTTTTCAACTATTTCATTTCGATCTAAATCTAAATTTGATTCAGGAAGAGATGGAGGATTTTTCAAATATTCTTCAAGTTCTTGTCGAATTTGAGTTGGAAGTTCATTCATTACTTCAGGATCAATTTGTCCTGGTGTATAACAATCATGTCGTGTTAATCTAAATAAATAATAAAAATATTTCGTAAAGAAATATCTGATTCAAATCAAATTAGAGAAAAAAAAAAGCAAAGATTAATTTTGTAAATTTTTATATTTGAAAACGAATCTAGGATAGTTGCTCGCGCAGTATGTGTGTGAAGAGTATTCATATTTCCGAAGAATTTTTGTGACTGATACAAAATAGTACTTTCAGGTTCAATACATAATAAAGTACTGTTTTGAATTACGAAAACTAATACGTAGGATTTTTTTTTCTTGAATTTTGTTTCATTGTCGTGCATCTCCAGTGATTCACGCCTTATTTGTCTTGCTTTATAAATCTTTTTTTAACACGTCTGAAAAACTCCGAGTGATTGGTAAATTTCTTTAAAATAATTTGTTCATTCCTTATCAAAAATTTTGATGAAAGGTAAACTGAATAAACCAACATGGTTTTAAGGTTCACATAAACAATAGATTCTAGATCAATCTGTTTAATTTGTTAAAAATGTCTAACAAATCTTTATAAAGCAAAAGAAACAGATCCGAATGACTGGAAGCCCACAATAATCAAACAAAATGCAAGAAAAAATCCTACATATCAGTTTTTGTAACTCGAAAAAACACTTTATGATGTATTGGATATGGAAGTGTCCGCTATCACTAGTGCAAAAACCAGTTCATCCAACTGTTATTTTAATCAAAATTCTTATAAAATTTTTCATAGCGATCAAGTGTCTGTTTCCCTCGAAAATATGATCATTAATGAGAATTTCTCTTTCAGAAATTTATTATTTTTTAAATCTTACTTTCTTGCAATAGCTGTTGTTTGTTCTTGTTGTATAGGACGTTTTCTTGTGACAGAACTTTCACTAGGTTGATCAATATTTTGATTATTATCGGTTGATATAACTGGTTTTGATACTCGAAATTGATTACATTCAAATAATGTTCGAGTACCATTTGTATCTTTTCCATGAATATTTTTAGTTGTTGACTGTAATTGTGTTATTGATAAGCCAATCTAAATGAAAATCATTTTGTTTAATCAATAAAAAGAAAAAAGAAAAAAAATTTTTTTTTTTTCTTTCTTACTCCACGTAAATCTGCAACAATAAAATGAAATTGTTTTAATAATTTAATAGTTTCTAATTCAATAATAGTTGGATCATCAATATATGAATGAAGATTAATTAATCGACTTGAATCATCTGTTTTTCCACAACCCATAAATTTTTCTGGTTCAATTGGTGCATCTGAAGATCGAACACGAATTTTAACTGTTAATTGTTTTCCTTTTTGTTCAGCTTGTTTTAAACGTTTATGTAATTCTAATGATAATTGTTTAATAAATAATGTTAATTCATCAAATGTTTGAAATCTTATACCATAATTAACATCAATTGATATTGATTTAGGTAAATAATCTTTTGAAAGTGTTCTCATATCAATACCTCGTGACATATCATATATAGTTTGTCCTTGTTTTTTACCCAAAATTGTTTTTAATTGTTCAAGTGAAAATAAATTTTGTACTTGTTTACATGTTTCAATTGTATGATGTGAATAATTTTGTTGTAATTTATCTAATAATGATAAACCAATACCAGGTAAATCAAGAATTTTTTGTTTAGATATAAATTCTTGTTCATAACCTTTTTCAACATAATATTGTCCATTTGGTTTAGCTTGTCGAGTTGCTAAACGTGCTAAAAGCATATTTGATGCAAGTCCAGCTGAACATGGACATTTTGTATTTAATTGAATTTCTTCACGTAATAATGAAACAAATGTTAATGGATGAAGTGGTTTTAAATAAATAATTAATTCAGTTAAATCAACATACATTTCATCACATGATACAGCTTCAACATCAAGTGTATAATTAAGTACTGTATTATAAAAAAGATCGGATATAATATGAAAACCTTCATAATCATATGGTAAACAAAGAAGTTTAGCTTGATGATTTCGACATAACTCTTGTGCTTTACCTAAAAGAATAATATCATATAATTATGAATAGAAATTTGAAATGGATAAGATATATATATATATATATATAGGATAGGGTAAGAATTAGAAAATTTTTTGTCAGTCAAAGTATGAAATAAGTTTACCTTGTACATCTATTGAATAGATAGAAACAAGTCAAAAACGGGAAATTAAATGTTTAATTGATGCACTCTTGACAAATGTGAATTTTAAGAACAATGTTAATAGTCTTCTAACCGCTTACACTCAAAATATGAATGTTTTCTATTGTTTTACTCTAATGATCTCTTGTTACTAATTCTACTTTTTTTTTTCTATTTACATTCGACATGTTCCTTTCTGCGTTTTTCTATCATATGAGATTTTATATTCACTCAACCAACTGTATCAACATTCGTAAGAAAGAAATTTTCTTGCCTCAGATCCTACTACTGGTATCTTGTCTAACTTCTCAAATTTTATTTCTTTCTTGAATTTTTTTTCTGAAGTATTTAGCAGCGACGTCAGGATTTCTGGTCGGAGGCACTGAACCCTCGTCAACTCCTCTATGGTACCGCCACTAAAAGTATCACTCAAATATACAGGCAAATGTTTTCAAATTATGAAGCGAAAAGTGAAACTACAATGTCATATTTTTATACCTAAATACATTCCATTTCGAATACCATATTGTCGTGCAGCATAATTACAAGATGAAATTTCTGATCGAGAAAAAAATTGATGTTCATTCTATGAAAAAAATAAATTTACTGTTTCTTTCTTTTTGTTTTTTTTAACCTACAGATGTAGTAGATTTATTTCCTTTTGAATGAGTAATAGCAATAGGTTGATCTCGTAATTCGGGTTGATTTCTTGTTGCAACAGATACAAAAAAACAATCCATATCAATATGCATATAAATTTTATCTTTTTTTTCATCATTTAATTTAAATAAATAATCACGTTCAGTTCGTTGAAGTTTATTTTTTAATTCTTCACGTCGTTTATCAATTAAAAGACGATGTTCAGTTTTTTGACGTAAATCTTGTACATAAACTTTTTTTGCAACAGCTGTCGATGATAAATAATGTAAACGTGAACGTTTAAGAAATGTTTCTAAAAATTTTGGATGTTTTGCATCAAGTACTGATAAATGATCATCATCTTCATCTTGAATTTCTTCAGTTTCTGATGATGATGATGATGTTTTTTCAAGAGAATTATTTTCTTCATCATCACTATTTGGAACATTAAAATCTGATGTTATTAGTTTCATTGGTTCCATACGTTTAAAATTAAGTTCAGTTTGACCACGTGATTTTGTTTTATCTTTATACATTTCATAATCATGTGTTGATAAAAGTTTATTTTGTTTTATACTATATAAGTCAAGAAATAAAATTTTATTTCAATTTAATTAAAGAAAGAATTTTTTTTTTCAATTTACCAATCGATAATCCATTGTGAATTAACAACTTTGTCATTCGGTTTAAGTTTACGTATTTTTGCATATGGTAAATTATTTGATATAAAATAAGTAACTTTATCTTTTGAATAATATGCATGATAAGCACCACCATGTTCCATCATTAATTTTTTTAATTCATCAGCTGGTGGTTCTAAATAGAAAATCATAACAAGATTTTTTTTTATCTTGTTTATATACATGAAAAAATAAATATTTCGATTATACCTGTATGTCCATCGACAAATATTGAAATTCCATGAAATATATTACTTTTACGTTCATGTTGTTGAACATTATTCATACAATCTTTATCAAATTGTTCTTCTAATTTACGTTTTTTTGCCTATGTTGTTTTTGTATTATTACAAAACAAATATTAATTGAAGATAGATTATTTAATAAAAACTTACAGCCATATAACCACCCCATTCACCCCAACCATTATCACCACGTTGACCAGCAGCTCGTCCTGCCATTTTTAGACTAATTCTCTTTTTCTTTTTAAATAAAATTAATGATTGTGAAATTATGTTTGACAAACGAACTTTGATTCGAGCTCAATAATAGACAATAAATGCTTATCCAAGATAGATATCGCTAGACGTCAAAATAAATTATATTGATAATTGAATAGAAAATAAGAAAGAAATAGAATATTTATTATTCAATTTATATTTTGAACAAATATTATTTGATATTAAAGAATAAATGAAAGGAAGCATTTAAAATTACTATATTTTATTTTATTTCGAAGTTCTGAAGAATTATATATGCGATGCTATATGCATCCGCCTCTATGTTATAATAATTGTTTAGGTCAACTGAAATGAATGATAACTTTTAGAAAGCAGAATTGGATTTGTTTCCGCTTGCTTGAAATTGCCTATATAATAAAAATTATCTACTTTTGTTTTTGAAGAAAATCTTTATAATTCGATAATATTGATATATCATTTAATAAAAATAATAAGCTGTCATTCATCTAACAACAACAATCAATCTTATTTATGTTGTATTAATTTTTTATCCTTATGTTATTCACATTAAACTATAAGATGTTTGACAGATGATGATATTTAACAGACGGGTCTATTTTTCAGTTTGACAATATTTACCAATAAATTAGATTTTTTTTTCTATAGATAATTTTATGACTAAATTTCGTTTGAGAAAATCAAGATAAAAAAAGAAAAAAGAAATCTTCATTGATTATAAACTAAACATCCCATCTAGAAGAATATTCAAATCTCGTGTGAATATTTTCAGTGATAGTAACTATTTGATTGTTCTTGCATTCTATTTGACGAATATGATTGAAAACAAAAAACAAATGTCTATAGAGATTTATAGGAAACAAATAGTTCATTGAATCTATATTAAAATTTCTATGAAATACTCGCCACATCAATTGAGTCATTAAAAAAAAATATATTCAATGATCTTGATAAATAAGTTTCTTGTTTTTTTTATAAGTACACTTAAACAAATAAAATAAGAATTTCTCCTTTTTTATATAAATTCAGTGACAGTTTATTTGTGTTTAAGCATAAATAATTGACACATTGTTTTTATTAATAGAAAAGAATAGTATTGGCGTGTGGTGACTTGTGATCATAGTATAAACTCGATTAGCACTTTGAACTCATCATATCACATTTCAAACAAGTCCAACATAACGCTTGTGAATGTATACCTAACTATTCTTCTGATTTTTTCCTCTCTCTCTCTCTCTCTCATTTGCTCGTATGTCTCTTTCACTCCTCTCGCCTTTTTCTTCCATTTTCAGCTTTCCAGAACGACAACTATCACAGAATATGCAGGCGCGCTTTTGCATCTCATCAATCTAAGAAAGGTAATCTGACGATATACAGAAAACCATGCATAAAGTATTCTGTATGTCGTTCTCATCGACAAATAGACAATGGGTTCGGAGATGACGATTAAATAAGAACGAAGATCGCAAAGAAATATCCTTATAGAATAATAAATATTTGTGTTTCCAATTCTTCTATATATTTTTCTCTCTCTCTCTCTATCGTTCTTCCTTGTATTATAGCAGTCGACAACATCGATTTTTTCTTAACTCAGTCGCATGGCACAGAGATTGTGCGTTTCTCTCCTTCAATATATTTTTATTCTAGAACTATCTATCTATTGTCTTCGATCACAACAACAATAATAACGGTTAAGTTTTTTTTTTATCATAAACAAGACACACGCACGCATACAGATACACCTGTCCTTTCATCAGATTAATATGGTATGTAACAAACTGACTTATTGTTTTAAAAGATTTTTTTTAATTAAAAAAAGATTTCTAATGTTTACTTTAGAACAGACGGAGTTTTTTAATCAGTGTGCTAATTATGGCTTCATTTTTATATTAAGACTGAAAAATATCTGATATTCTAATGATTGGTTTATTCAACACTCTCATAATCAATTAATCTATGAATATATCAAAGAAATAATCCTCAAAAACTTCATTATTATTGCAGATCAACCTAATCAACTGTAAGAATTAAAATTTTTTATCATCTATCGGAAATTAAGTTCTACTAGTAGACGAGTCAAGTATGAATCTTCTTCTAACTGACTATGTCTATCACATCATTTGTTATAAAATAAAAGAAAAACGTTAGACTGGCATTTTATTATTCCCACGTTAATAATAATGATGAGGAAAGATGCACACAAGGGTATGTATAATTAGTTGTCGAAATCTAGTGAGTAAAATAGTCACTAATCACAACTGTTGTTATTTTGCTTTGATGACCTTGTTTATTCTTCTACTTTGTATCATATACACAACCTTCGAAAAATCAATTGGATCGCTTAATAGAATGACTATTCTGGCAGATTCTAGTATCCAGTCGATCAGTAAATGGTATTAACGATGAATGTTACTGAGTAGTGCATTATTATTTTCGAAGTTTTGATCGACCGTTTATAATTTAATTTCGGACTTAGTTTCCTTTTTTTTTCCTATTGTTGTCTAGATTTGAAATGGCAACAAACATTTATATATATAGACATGAACAAGAAAGCAGAAAAACTGTTCCTTGCGGCTGAACAGATACAGTTAAGAATAGATAAAGATGACGACATGTTTACAAGATCAATGCAATAAATAAAAAAAAGAAAGAGGAAACCTATCAACACGTAGTTTTAGATTGATATATATTGCAAAAAATAAGTTAATAGAAACTAACTGAAGAGAAAAGAAAAAAAATCCCACTTCTATATATCTTTGTTACTTCATTTCTTATTAGCTTGCTGATTTTATTTTAACATGCAATAACAGTGTATTCATTATTATATGTTTGATCATTGCTTTATCTTGTCGCGTGAGTTCTATCGTCTATTCTCTCCATTTAAATACACTCGTGCGCTTGCATGTTTTGATAATCATAATTTTATTATAACGAAACAACCAGTATAATAAAAAAAGAAAAAAACTATTTTGTTATATGTAGTAGACGATCGATATAATTGTCTAGAAATAGAGTATTGATGTTTGTGTCTGTAAATATGTATGGAGAGAAAAATCAAGCTTTAGTATTTTTATTTTGTATGTGATTATTCAAAGAGGAAGACTAAATGACATTTTTTTTTCTCGACGATATTTTATTATTATTCGAGCATCACTTTATTTTCTTTTCATAAATAGCTAAGTGAATGCAAGTCTAATAATCAAAAACAAAAAAAAAAAAAAATAGAATCCTATACGCTTGACAAAATACATTATATTCATTGGATGAAAACACAAAACATCTCTAGTAAGTGAATCGAGTCGTGGTAATAGAAGAAGAAAAAAAAAGCAAAAATCAAACTTCAAAGAAATATAGAATCATATTTTTATCAAAATAATTAATAATTCAATTAATTATTTGTTTTTATTTAGGTATTAAAAATATTTATTCAATTTTTATTATGACAAAATAAATATGGATATCGACAAAATACTTAACGGAGGATTTTATAAATCAACAATTGTTTCAGATACTATACCATCATCTTCAACAACAATTGGACATTTAATTAGTAATCCAATTGATGAATGTCAAAGCTCTCCATTACTATCATCATCAATTTGTGATAGTGCTTGCTATTCATCAGCTGTAGAAGAATGGCATTCAATGCAACCACACCTGTCAATGACAAATAATAATAATAATAATAATATTAAATCACAATATCAAGAAGAATATAAAAATCAACGAATACAATCAATACATCCAGAATATATGAATAATAAATATTCACCACCAGAAAATGAACCATTTGATAAAGTTATTATAAATGTTAGTGGTTTACGTTTTGAAACACGTGCATCAACTTTACAACGTTATCCAAATACTTTACTTGGTGATAAACAACGACGTGCACATTTTTTTGATTATATGAATAATGAATATTTTTTTGAACGACATCGTTCATCATTTGAAGCTGTTCTTTATTTTTATCAAAGTGGTGGACGTTTAACACGACCAGAAAATATTTCTGCAGAAATTTTCTTAGAAGAAATTAAATTCTTTGATCTTGGTATGTTAACAGATTTTTTGCATATTAGTGTTATATGAGAAGAATTTATTTCTATTATATTTACTTGAATAGCTTAATAAAAAGATAATAGATTCTGTTGTCTTGTAAACATGTATTATATAAAATGAAAGTAATTCGATTCTAAATGCTTTGTAGTACTCTTATTTGCAAATTTTATTATTAGAATGTTAATAGAATTGTTATTAAAAAAAAAATGACCTTTTAGTTCAAATATTAATAAAGAAAAACTATGAATCTAGAATAGTAGGACAATTAAAAAGAAAAAAGAAAATAAAATAAAGTTTAACTCATGAAATGAAATTCTATTTTGAGTCATACACTCAATTGACATTATTTTCAACGTATAATATATATGTAGAAAAACTCGAATAGAAAAAAAGACTATGAAATAGATATAAATTATATAATTAAATATACTATATGTATGCAATTGTTTCACGCTTGATAAGTTTAATCTATAATTCGAATAATTATATTGGGAAATATAGTTGTATTGAATTTCTATTTCTCTTCCCGTAATAATCAGTTACTATTATTTTTTTTTTCGCTATCAATTGGTCAATTTAATCTCAAACACAGCCGGACATCAAATAATCTAATAAACTTTCGTAAATATGAAGAGCGGATATTTAAGAATCTCTATAATTTTTTTATATGATTCATTAAAAAATCTTCTTCTTCTTCTTCATTTCATTTTCCAGGCGATGAAGTTCTTAAACGTTATCGTAAACAAGAAGGTTATGTTGAAGAAATTCCTATTGAAAAACCAGTTAATCATATTCAACGTGCTATATGGGAAGTTTTTGAATGTCCAGAATCATCAAATTTAGCAAGAGTTGTAGCGATTATATCAATTGTTATGATTACTGTATCCATAGCATCATTTATTGTAGAAACACTACCTTCCATA